AAAGAAAGTGTCCAACTTTCACTGAACGGCAGTTGAAACGGCTCTGAAATGCCACCGCGAGACCTCCTCCACGACCAGATCCCCGAGGCTGGCTGATGACAGAAAAGCCATTTGGGCACATTTCAATAAGAGACGAATAGTCCAAGCCCCGCTGCCAGGTCTTGGACAGAAGCAAGAAGTCCAGATTTTTAGAAGCAATAAAATCGTTAAGCACAAACGATTTATTAGTCAAAGATCGGGCATTAAAGAGCGCCATAGTCAGCGGGGTTAGAGCATCATTATTGGGAGAAGCTCGAGTTAAAGGACGTAAATACTCGAGATTAGAGCCTTCACGTTCGTATATTCCACTCACCGAGGGGATGAAAAGCGAGTCAGCAGGAGAGTCTGGATGAACCCTTCTGAGGTAGCACGGTCTCGGAGAGCCAGGCCCTGTATATCCAAGCAGGGCCGTGGAGAACAAATTCCTCTCTATGGAGCTGTTTTGAGCGTAAGTAACAGAGCACGCACGACATCGCTTTCCAATCAGCCCCCGTCGCCAGAAAAGCCTAAGCTTCACCTGGATACCTGATCTCCTTCCTCTTCTTCTCCGTGATCTACGGGGAACGCTGAGAACGCTGGCCGAGGATCCAGCCACTGGCGGTAGATGGAAAGTGCCAAAGGAGTGCGGGGAAAAGTGCGGAGAATGGAAAGTGCCAAAGGAGGAGGACGATGAAACATCTTGGGCCATCATTGAAGATCGGATTGATAACAGCATCAAACGATCATAAACCAAGGCAGCCAGAACATCATTGATACAAATAAAAAACAGCAGAGTAGAGAAAAAAAACACGACGATAGAACGTGACAAACTGCACCCGGCAGCGGCGAAGCCAAACACAGGCGCCATCATACCGGAAGTGCTGATACAAAACAACTGTTTTATCATGTGAATAAAAGTATATGTTTTTGTCACTGTACCATGGTAATAACAGAAGCGAAACGCAATATTGTGTCAGGACAATTCACTATTTATGCACAATAAACAAAGGAGCATAGCACGACAATTTCTGTTCAGCGCCAGACTTGCTTGTAACCTATATCACCAATTATGTTAAGAAAAATGACGCATTAACTACAACAGCAGACTGACCTTTGTGTAAATGCTTGGAGCAGACTAACCTGTGAGCTGGAGTGTTCTGAGACATTATATTTGGTCTTTGAATGGCTGCAATCCAGTCGCCTCTTTGTTACTTCGGAAACATGGCTCGAACAATTTCTCTTCAACGACGTAATCCGATAACAACTGATCTCTTTACCCGTCGGCTTTCCATGGCTGTCATGTGACCGGCTATTGCAGTTAATAATACACCAGCTTCTTGACATTTTTGTGTTTCTTTTTATCGCTGTGTGACTGATTTCAATTGAAAGCCTGCGTGCGCTAGTACCTCTTGCCACGAGTTCCCAGAATTCCTTGCGGTTTTACCCCTGAGTGACGTCACATTTTCAATCTCTATTGAAGAAACAAAAGTTGTATCCAAGATGGCCGATTTCTAAATGGCCACCATGGTCACCACCCATCTTGAGGAGTTTGCCCCCTCACATATACTAATGTGCCACAAACAGGACTTTAATAATGGATTGGATTTATATAGCGCTTTTCAAGGCACCCAAAGCGCTTTACAATGCCACTATTCATTCACTCTCGCATTCACACACTGGTGGAGGCAGCTACGGTTGTAGCCACAGCAGCCCTGGGCAGACTGACAGAAGCGAGGCCGCCATATCGTGCCATCGGCCCCTCTGGCCAACACCAGTAGGCAAGTAGGGTAAAGTGTCTTGCCCAAGGACACAACGACCAGGACAGAGAGCCCGGGGATCGAACTGGCGACCTTCTGGTTACAGATACGCTTCCCAACCCCCTGAGCCACAGTCGCAATATCACCAACCATTCCCATGTTATTACGCTGTATCCATATAAATGGCCCACCCTGTACACACGCAGTTACTGTCCCTCCATTTACAAAGGCAGAGGCGTCACGGTGTGATTATTTTACGTGTAGTTTTCCTGTGTAATAATATTCAACATTGCTATCAATACATTTTTCAAAAATTGCCTCTCTGTGCCAAATGGGTTTAAAAACATAAAAAACTGGGATACTGTTTGTCTGTGATTTAGACGGGGGGAACAAATCGTGGCAGGATCAGCCTGATATTATTTGTATCCCGCTGTAACTTTACTGTATAAAGAGCAAACATCTCCAACATGTCAGGAGTAGTTAGTCACTACAACAAGTGTTTGTGAACTAAAAATCAATAATGTTGTATACTGTTTGTCCATGATTTGAACAGCCCAGCGCTGCTCCAGACGAAGGGAAAACCAATTCTGCAGGGAGACCTACCTCAGCACTTGTGCAGGTGAAGCCGAAGGGAAGATTTGCTTCACCATATTTTCTAGTCTTTGGCTTAGAATGAAGTTGGTTTGGAAACATATTCAGCGATGCTTCATCTCCTGCTTTGCGTTTGTGTTGGCGCCCCGTGTTAACAGTGTCCAAGTGGGTTTTTTTTGGATTTTTCCCCTTTTCATACCACGTCCCCCCTGCAATGGCTCTGCGCCCCCCCCCCCCCCCCCTAGGGGGCGGGCCCCGCAATTTGGGAAGCTCTGCACTAACCAGATCCAGTAGAGACTCTAGCATGAAGAGTTGGACACCACCAGATCCTCACAGGATTCACACCAGCTGGTTAGGGAAGCTAACTGCAAATGGATTAGACACACCTGCAATGACTAACTGAAGCCGGATAGTCTTGATCCCCGAGGATCCCCAGGACAGACTGGTCCCATCCAATTGTGAGCCAATAACCTGGCTTAGTACCACTTGGAAGCTTCTGTCAGGCGTCAGAGCAGCTAAGATGACCAGGCAAATAGCTCAATACATAAGAGGAGCAACAACAGGGATTGGCAGAAACACCAGAAGCACGAAACACCAGCTACAGTTGCTCAAGACTGCAAGACCAGACTTACTAACCTTAATCCCTAGAACTTCACAAGATCAACAGGACCCCAAGAGCCTTCATCAGGAACTCAGTTGAGATGTGGCGGACAACACTAGAGGCCAACTTCAAGCCCGTAGCACAAGTCACCATCAAGTGTGGGATCTACCAAGGAGATGCTCTGTCCCCACTGCTGTTCTGCATAGGCCTGAACCCCCTCAGTGAGACCATTGACAAGACTGGCTACGGATACCGACTACGGAGTGACGCAGTCGTCAGCCACCTCCTGTACATGGATGACATTAAGCTGTATGGAGAAAGCTGGATTGGAGAAATATAGTCAGATGATAACAAAGAGAGGGAAGGTACTCAGAACTGAGGGGATTGAACTACCAGAAGGCAACATTGCAGACATTGAGGACACCTACAATTACCTGGGTATTCCAAAGGCAAACGGGAACCATGAAGAGGCTGCTAGGAAAGCTGCAACCACCAAGTGCCTGTAGAGATGAGGTAAGTCCTGAGGAGTCAACTAAATGGAAAATCAACACCTACACCCTGCTGGTGATCAGATAACCTCCTGGGATAACAAGCTGGGCAAATGAGTAGATAGAAGCCAATGACATCAAGAAAAGGACGTTTCTGCTAAAAGTTAGCAGAAAGAAACTAAAAGTTAGTTTCAAGTGCTTGCTCATACGGTGTTATGTGATTTTTGGGTTTTCTCTCCAATATTGGAGGTCTTTAGGTTATATTAAATTTCAGTTCTTTGTATTCTTGAACGGCCAAGAAAGACACGGCTCAAAGTGGTCAAACTCAAAAAATGATCATTAATTTTACATATTCCGGAATATGGAGACCTGAACACACGAACACACAAGCTCAGGTCTGAAGCACAAACAGAAAGCCTAGTCATTTATATAGACGTCACACACACTTTAAGCTTCGATCAAAGACTCTGCTTAGTTTCACTTTCTGGCTGCAGGTCCTATTTTCTCTGCAAAAGCATGCAGTTTCCTGTCAGTACTTTGTGGCACAGACTGTACTCAGAGTTGGGCCTTTTATATAAAACAATATAATCAGCAAATACGCATTCAGATTATTATATATTTAAATCTCAACAGTTACAATATAAAGCACCTTTAGGTGAGTGTTGTATAGCAGCGGTCCCCAACCTGTTTTTCACCACGGACCGGTTTATGCCCGACAATATTTTCACGGACCGGCCTTTAAGGTGTCGCGGATAAATACAGCAAAATAAAACTAGTACTGAAAAAAAGAAGATTTATTCATAACACACGTGGAAAGACCCAGGAAAACCGAGTTAACAATAAAAACTATAACAAAATAACGCTGAAAACCGATAAAAACCCTGAAAACCAGACATTTCACACCTGAGCCTCAACTCTCGCGGCCCGGTACCAAACGACTCACGGACCGGACCCGGCTCTGGAGGACTCGGGGGTCCATGAGCAGTTTTGACTGTTGTTGTTGTTATTATTATTATTATTATTATCGTTATTATTTGGTGATGTGTGTGTTTTTCTGCAAAATGCTGTGTTATTCTGTGTTTCACTCATTATATGTATAGGCAGGGTGTGGGTGTGTACATGTGTGTGTGTCTGGAGGATGGAGGACAGCCACCTGCAGGCCTCGTCAGGGGAGCTACTTAGGAGAGTGTTGGAGCTCTCACCGACGCGGGATCATTGCGTTGTCATCCCAAGTTAGTGTGTGGCAGTGTATAAGAGCGCAGTTCGTATATGCCCGTGGGGGTCAGTGTTGACGGCTGTTTCTGTGGTTTTCCTGCAGGTGGAAGAGTGGACCAGAAAGGCAGCACGCACGGGTGTGCGGAAGCACGACAGCGGGGAGCACGAGCACAGACGTCGGAGGGGAGCACACACACAGGAGTCAAGGGAGCAACGGGGATTTATTGTGTTTACAGCTTTCACTGTAAATAAAGTGCACTGTTTGCATCGCAGAAACCTGCGTTTTGGGTCCTCATTCCCCACATCCCCACGGTCTGCCAGCCAGACCGTGACAGAATTGGTGTTATTTAAATAAAATTGAACCGAATAACACTGAGAAATCTGATAATGATTAATAACAGCCCTACAGACAGCTGCACCTCTGTAAGTGGCTTCAAGGAAACCAAACCAAAACCTCTCTTCCCTACAGAAACCTGTTGCTAGGCAACAGCGAGGTTCGACCACTTCTCCAGGATGAGAGAATGGCGTCTCTGCTGCCACCTGTAGGTATGGAGGTTTTCAGATGCTTCACAGCAGTCTCAAAGGAGGTGGTCCAACAACGACACGAAGCTGAGGTAAAGGAGCGAAAGGCGTGGAAGCACCAAAAGGTACCGATCAACTTTCAGGAATCAGTGATAGATAATCAATCAGTAAAATTAATACTGCTGATAAGTTGCATGAGGGGAAGCTCTTCTGTGTAACTCAGGCAAGTGAGAAAAACCTGACCAAACCTGCTCGTCACCTGGAGACTGGGAAGTCCCTCCCTTTCATCTATGGTGCCCCCCCCCCTCAGCTTCTCTGCACCCCATTGGAGGATCTGGATCCCTTCTACCAATCACAGAAGGTCTCTGATCCCCTGGTCTCTCTGATGTGTCTGTCCATCTGACCTGTCTTTCTCTGTCTTTCTTGGACCCGTCTCCCTCTGACCTTCTCTCTGTGACCAGTCATGTCCACCCTAGCTGGAAAACTCAAAAACTTATTTTATTGTTGTTGTCTGTTGTCCTCCTGGGCCTTACTCTGGGTTTCTGAATTCTCCAACTTTGTATGAGATTTTTGTGATCTTCATGTCTCTGTCTGATCGTTTTAGGTTAACATCAATGATTTTTAGCTCGTCAATGTGCCTAGTCGACCCATTCAGAGTAATGATTTATTATAAGAGTTTCAATCAGGATCTGGAGTGCATCACAGCACAGAAAAAGAATAGTGAAGGTTACAAATGATCTTCTTATGGCCTCTAACAGTGGACTCATCTCTGTGCTTGTCCTGTCAGATCTCATTGCACCATTCAATACTGCTGAGCACAATATTTTACTACAGAGATTAGAACACATTAAAGGTACTGCACTGGAGTGGTTTGAAACATATCTGTGTCAAACAATAGTTTGTTCATGTAAACTTGGAGCCTTCTTCACACATATAAGTTTTTCGTGGACTTCCACTGGCTTCTGTGCTGGAACCAATTTTATTTACATTATAAATGCTTCCTTTAGATAATCTTAGTAAAAAACTGCATCCGTTTTCACTGCTATGCAGCTGATACGCACCTTTATTTATTCATGAAGCCAGATGATACAAATCAAATTTTGTCCTTCAGTGCACATATTAAACAACTATGTAGGACTGCTTTCTTGCATTTTTGCTATGTCTCTAAATTTAGAAACATCCTGAGTGAAAAACTAGTTCCTGCATTACTTCTAGGCTGGACTACTGTAAAAAGAAAAAGAATGCTTCAGACCCTTCCCATTTAAATAACGTCCATTTCAAATTTGCCTTTCCTAGCCAAAATTCATGAAATGATAGTGGCTGCACAGGTTCATAGACACCTCACTGGAAATTACTTGTTTCAGTCCGGCGTCCGTTCTTTTCATAGTACAGGAACAGCTCTAGTAAAAATCCCTACTGATCTTCTGCTTGCAGCTGACTCTGGACTCATCTCCATCCTCATTCTCCTTGACCTTGCAGTAGCTTTTGATACTATTTCCCACCGCATCCTTCTTTATAGATTAACATCTATTAGGATCAGTGGTACAGCACTCGCCTAGTTGACCTTGTATCTCTCTGGCTACTCACAGTTTGTTCAGTTACTCACAGATCAGTATCTACTCCAGTTAACTCCGGTGTTCCCCAAGGCTCTGTCCTGGGTCCTTTTTATTATCTATCTCCTACCCCTAGGTAATATTTTCAGAAAATATAACATCCAGTTTCACTGCTACGCAGATGACACCCAGCTCTACCGGTCCTCCAAACCCACAACTACTCTCCCACCCACATCAGTTTCTGACTGTTTAAGTGAAATCAAGGTCTGGTTTACCCACAACTCTCTTAAAATCAATGGCAATAATGGCACTCCTTGGTGGCTTCTTGTCCGGGCCTGGAGCCTGGGCTCGCTCGGGCCACTTCGGAGGTGGGGTGCCCCCGGCCTCTCGGCCTGGGGCTCGGTCACTCTGGCGCAGCTGGCTGCCGGCGGAGCTCACGGGCGCGTCACTGCAACTCCCCCTGGCTTCTGCTCCGCGGCTGCTGAGTGAGCCCTCATCTGGGACTCTCCTCAGCTCTTTCTGGGACAGTGGCGCAGCTGCCCCTCTGTTGGTCTTCCTTGGTCTCTTGTGTTCTGGGGGCCTCTGGATGTCTGGAGTTTTGATCTCCTCCATACCTGCTTCATGCCCTGGAGGACGGGGCTGTGGCCCCCCCACACCCTCTAGCAGATCATTACATGAAGGAACCTTTTAAAAAAAACAAGCGCGTCCATGCTCACAGGTGTACACACGGGTGATCACACCCACAAACTACACCCTTTTTGGCTCCTACCTCAAAGCACACTGTGTTCTGTTGATCTTATGTGCTGCACAATAATGTTTAACATTTAGTATTTACTGTCATATTCCCATATATCATTGTGATGTTGTTTGTTGTATTGCTCTCATTTTCTTGTTTTCTTTTTCTTTCTCAACAGGTGATCCAGGTGGTTGATATATGTATTTTTTGTCTGCTTATTTAGTTGTTTTTTGTTTTTTTGCCCTCTATCCCCGTCCCTCTTGTCCGCTGTTTTTCTTTCCCTCTTCCTTTCTCCCTTTTCTTTTCCTCATTCAAGTCTGTCCCGTATCTAGCAAGTGAAAATAAAAAATAAAATAAACAATGAAAGGTGAATCAAATAGACCATTACGGCAAGGCTGGGATGGTCAATTTGGTAAAGTAAATCCGTTGGGCATCTTTCTTCGCCTTTAGACAACAATTTTGATGCAAAAGAGCCAAACGGGACAGGCAAAAAAGAAAAAAAAATTAATTAATTAATGGCAATAAAACAGAATTAATTCTAATAGGCACCAAATCAAAACTGACTAAAGTTCCAACCAGATGTCTTTCATTATCCATTAATAACTGTTTTGTCACACCCTCCCCTCAGGTTAAGAGTCTTGGTGTCATCCTCGATAGCACTCTTTCCTTCACAGCACATATAATATTTTCATCTCCGTAATATTAAACGCCTTCATCCCTCACTCACTCCAAACAGTACCGTCATACTTGTCAATGCTCTTTTCACATCTCTTTCAGATTACTTTAATTCTCTTCTCTATGGTCCACCTCCATAAATTGCATTTAGTTCAAATTACAGCTGCTCGTATTGTATCCAGAACTAGATCCACTGAACATATAACAGCTGTTCTTAAACAGCTCCATTGGCTCCGGGTTCACCTCCGTGCCAATTTCAAGATCCTGCTTCTTACTTTCAAAGCCCTTCATAACCTCGCTCCATATTTATCTGATCTTCTCCACACATACTCACCCCCTCGTACACTCTGCTCTTCTTCAGCTTCCCTTCTGTCTGTTCCACCTGCTCGTCTGACTACCATGGGACTCAGAGCCTTTAGTTGTTCTGTCCTGAGACTTTGGCCACACTTCCACCAGATCTCCAGACCACAAACCGTCTCTTCACTTTTAAATACTTTCTTAAAATTATTTATTCAGCACTGCATACCCTTCATTATGACTCCGTCTTAGTGCATTTTTACTTTGATTTGACTTTTATACTTTCATCTTTATTGTTTCCCTGTTAAATCCAGAATTCAAAATCCTGCTAGTCACAAAAAAGGTCTTGACTCATCTATCTCTGATCTGTCTGTCCCTCACCTCCTTTCTGTCCCTTATTTGTCTGTCTCTCATCCATCTCTCTGTCTCTTACTTGTCTGTCCTTCACCTGTCTGTCTCTCACCTATCTGTCCCTCACCCGTCTGTCTCTCACCCGTCTGTCTCTCACCTATCTGTCCCTCACCTGTCTGTCCCTCACCTGTCTCTCTGCAGACCTTCATGGTTCTCAGTAAAGGAAACATCATTAACAGGTTTAGTGCTGACTCGTCTTGTTACCTGCTGAGTCCATTCAACCCGTTGAGGACCCTCGCAATCAAGACCCTTCTTCATCCATATCCTTTATGATGTCATAGTGTCAGGAGCCTCTGTGTGGTCAGGTTTTAGCTCTCTGGACCAGGTGAGCTGAGTTTTCCCTGAACTCTCACACTTTCTTCAGTATATTCATCCTACTGGCGATCCTGGGCTTCGGTGTTCTGGAGTTCAAATTTCCTGTGGTGAAGTAAGATACACACACACACACACACACACACACACACACACACACACACACACACACACACACACACACACAGATCTTTCATCAGGAGCAGAAAAACACGACTAAGTGATGAACAGGGCTGTTGATGGCAGCATCGATGAGTCACAGCATGAGAATGGTTTTAAAGTCTAAATCCATGCTAAGGCTCAAAGACAAAGAGCCAGTCTGTCCTCAGTCTGTCCTCAGTCTGACAGCAGCAGCACACACAGGTCTGTAAAGGTCAAACTGACTTTGCTCGCTGTTGTCGAGACAGGAAATGCTCAGAGTGTTCTGATATGTGAACAGATTTGTCATACAGACAATTAAGAGACGGCTTAAAGGGCCTGTTGTGATGTTTCTCCATCGAGACAGCTTTTGTGTGACTCGTCCATTTAGGAGAGATCTGCGGTGGAAGTGTTTGCCTCCTCTTCAGTATAATGGAAGCACTTTTACTGTCTTGGGCTGGCTGTAGCTCAGGAGTTAGAGCCAACTCAAACTAACTAACTGAAAGTTTGGCGGTTCAGTCCCTGGCTACTCCAGTCTGCATGCCAAAGTATCCTTTGGAAAGAACCCTGAGCTGGTGTGAAAGCTCTCAATCAATCAATCAATCAATCAATCAATCAATCAATCAATGCTTTATTCGCCACACACAGGTTGCCCTGCAGTGAAATGGGATCCCCCCCTCCCCGACCTTACACACACAACACAGACATCACATGGGGATACAGGTCAGAGATCGGTAGCGTTACAGAAAAACACTGAAATGTACACTACAATGGGAAAGTACAAGAGTAAAAAAAGAGACCTCTACTCATGCTGGGCTCCTGGGAGGACAGCATGAGAACAGGAAACAAAAAAACTCCTCTGCACAGAAAGCACATAAATGTCCACAGCACAACATTATGGAGCATGTGACAAGCCACAGGGTTGAGTAGGGGGTGAGGAGTAATCCGAAGCAAACACAGCAGCCATCCTGCCCTGCGCTATTATTCCAGCGCGGGCCCAGACCCGCCGTGTTCTCCAGGAGGGAACAAGCATCGGAGGCGTTTGGAAAGGGAGGGGGGATGAGTGTGTGCATATCAGTGTTGATGTATGTGTGTGCGTGTCCAGAGTTTAGCTGAGACAGTGTCCTTCACCCTGCCAGGCTAAGTAAACAGTCTTCCAGCCAACCCAGATGGCCTTGCATGGAATAGAAGGAACAGACTCAAGACAGTCGTTATCAGGGTGTTTTTGTTCGGCTCCAGCCTTGAGCCGACATCTGGCGCCGAAGGGACAGCTGCATTATGATGGTGATTTTTCTTTTATGCGGACAACTCATGAGAATTTCAAAGCTGTTCTTTAACACTCCGACACTGGTCTCTCAATCTCCCGTTGCAGAGCCGCGAGCTTCTCCATGATGTTATCAAACTTGCGCTCCGTGGTCTTGTCAATTCTTGTGCTCAAGGAGCAGATTCTGAGACCTCACGACCGCAGAGAGCTGCTCCAAGATGTGATCTAACTTTCACTCAGAGGTGTTATTCTGAGTATTCACGGCAGCCATAAGATTCTCCAAGCTCTTAACCGTGCTGCACTCAGTGAGCCCATTCTGAGACGTCGCGCCTCGTCCCATTGTTTCAATCCCAGCGGGCAGCCTTGGGGGGTTTGAACAGCCGGTTCCACTTTCTTAATTCTCCAGGGCACTCGGGCTCTCCCGAGCCCAAACTTCTCTGGTGTGAAAGCTCTCTGTCTCACGTTTATGTGAACAGGTACGTGTACATGGCAATCTTCGTGTTTGAGGCTCTGGTGAAAGTCGTGGCGAGAGGCTTCTGTGTGGGACGCTTCACCTTCCTCAGAGATCCCTGGAACTGGTTGGACATCATCATCATCAGCACCCTGTAAGGCTCAATAACACACCTCACACTCTCACACAGACTGTATGTACAGCCATGAATCTGCATTCTTTCTAATGACCAGCAGGGGGCAATTTCAGGTTGCACAAACAAAATTCAGTGTAATCTGTTTTAGATTTATTGGAAAACGGCTGACATGAAGTTGGTGAGACTTATTTCTCTGCCGTGATTCTCCGACACGTACAGTTATTGGAAAAGAAAGTTTTCACAGGACGATCCTGAGAAAAAAAACAAGTCCAGCCTTATTGCCTTCATGGGAGTTAAGAGGGTAAGCAGCAGCCAGGTGCTCCTAATCGAGCCAGACTGATTAGTCATACAGAAAATGATCACATCAAGCTGTTGCTGCTGAAGGTGTCTCTCCAAGCTCATTGATGAGGTACAATTAGGACTGCTTATACTGTGAGTTTGTTAATGGAAGAGCTCCTCTTTGTTCACTTCTTTAACCTCCTAGGACCTGGCGTCCACGTGTGGACATCACATTTTGGGTTATTTAGACCGAAATACTCAATTTCGCTCTGCAACGGCCTGATATCCACTCACGAGGACATTATACGCCTACTGTTCTACTGAAATTTTAAACAAATATCCTCATATGTGGCTTTCATTTTTCTTAGAAACAAAAATTAGGTAAAAAAAATAATCTGGTAATTCTTTATTTTTACATTCATCGGGTCCCAATATGCCCAAATATCAAAGAGAAATTAAAAATGCATGCCGAGGAAGAGTTCGGATCTTAGGGGTTAATGTTGGTTACAGATTAACGTGATCCAAAAAACAGGAAACAGTATAAAAGAGCCTTCACAATAAGAGCCTCTCAGTCCTGAATAACAAGGCTCACTGCAGCTCAGAAAATACTCAAGAAATGTGATCCACCGATTGAATCCACTCAATGCTGGACGTGACCTTTACAGTTACACCAACACAGTTCTTGTCAGTGTGGTCTCATATCCATAGATCCATGTCCGTGCAAATAAGGTGGGCTTTTTCCAGCTGTGAAGATGAAAATTATCTTTTGCTGCTTTCACCACCACATCCATCCATCCAGTTTTCTTCTGCTTATCTGAAACTGGGTTGCAGGACAGCAGCCTAAGCAGAAAAGCCGAGATCTCTCCACGATGTCCTGGGTCTGCCCCGGGGCCGTTCCTTTGTTATTACCCTTATATTTCGAGTTTAGTTGTTCCTTGGTTCAGGCACTGAAACTCCCTGTTTAGGTTTGGGACTCTTTCAGTGTTTGAATCCAGGCTGACATCAAACACTGTCCCAGCAAACTGACCACAGAGACTCTTGATGTTTCTTAAGGCTTGGTAACAAGCTAACCTCCTGTAGCCGAATGCTCGCTGTGCTGCTCTGCTTTCCTGTGTAGCTTTCCTGTGTACGTCTCCTCTACCTTTGTCACTGATAAAGGTTTTAGATTTATATTAGGACACTAACTGTCACGTCCTCATCACCGGCTTTGCTTCTGTATGTTCTGCTCGACACACTTTGGCTTTTTCCTGCTCGGCTGTAAATGTGTCTTTATGTTTTACAGCTGCTTTAATCACTGCTTCATGATGATGATGATGATGAAGGTGGTGATGATGACTCTGTGTCTCAGATTGGTGTCACAGTTCGTAGATTTGGGGAAGTTTGCTGTGCTGATGACGATTTCTCTGCTGCTGAAGATCTTCACATGCAGCCGAGGTGTGTGCGTAGGTGTGTGTGTCTGTGTGTGTGTGTGCGCGTGTGTGCGTGCGTGTCTGTGTGTGTGTGTCTGTGTCTGTGTGTGCGTGTCTGTGTGTGTGTGTGTGTGTGTGTGTGCGCGTGTGTGCGTGCGTGTCTGTGTGTGTGTGTCTGTGTGTGTGTGTCTGTGTGTGTGTGTGCGTGTCTGTGTGTGTGTGTCTGTGTGTGTGTGTCTGTGTGTGTGTGTGCGTGTCTGTGTGTGTGTGCGCGTGTGTGCGTGCGTGTGTCTGTGTGCGCGCGTGTGTGTGTGTGTGTCTGTGTGTGTGCGTGCGCGTCTGTGTGTGCGTGCGCGTTTGTGTCTGTGTGTGTCTGTGTGTGTCTGTGTGTGTGTGTGCGTGTCTGTGTGTGCGTGCGTGTGTCTGTGTGTGTCTGTGTGTGTGTGTGTGTGTGTGTGTGCGTGTCTGTGTGTGTGTGCGCGTGTGTGCGTGCGTGTGTCTGTGTGCGTGTGTCTGTGTGTGTGTGTCTGTGTGTGTGTGTGCGTGTGTGTGTGTCTGTGTGTGTGTGTGCGTGTCTGTGTGTGCGTGCGTGTGTCTGTGTGTGTCTGTGTGTGTCTGTGTGTGTGTGTCTGTGTGTGTGTGTGCGTGTGTGTGTGTCTGTGTGTGTGTGTGCGTGTCTGTGTGTGCGTGCGTGTGTCTGTGTGTGTCTGTGTGTGTCTGTGTGCGTGTGTCTGTGTCTGTGTGTGTCTGTGTGTGTGTGTGCGTGTCTGTGTGTGCGTGCGTGTGTCTGTGTGTGTCTGTGTGTGTCTGTGTGTGTGTGTGTGTGTGTGTCTGTGTGTGTCTGTGTGTGTGTCTGTGTGTGTCTGTGCGTGTCTGTGTGTGTCTGTGTGTGTCTGTGCGTGTGTCTGTGTGTGTCTGTGTGTGTCTGTGTGTGCGTGCGTGTGTCTGTGTGTGTCTGTGTGTGTCTGTGTGTGTGTCTGTGTGTCTGTGTGTGTCTGTGACCGTGTCTGTGTGTCTGTGTGTGTCAGTGCGTGTGTGTGTGTGCGACTTGTATTCACAGCGTGGGCTGTCTTCACAGGTCTGAAGAAGACAGTCGAAGCTCTTGTCCAATCGGTGAAGAGGCTTGGTTGTGTCATCATCCTGACGTTGTTCTGCCTGAGCATCTTGGCTATGATTGGTTTACAGCTCTTCATGGGAACCCTGAAGAACAAATGTGTCATCTGGTCGATGAACACAAACACGACAGAGTTCGATTTCCACAACCACACCACCTCTCCAGGTATGATGGTCGTACCACGTCCTGATTGGCCGGTTAGCCTTTTAAGACAGTCAGATGGCTGACTCGCAGGTCTTCTTCCAACAGTACAATGAAAGCAGTGGAAAGAGATCTCATGTGAGATCAGGTGAACCTCTGAGGAAAAGTCTTCAGGTCCAAAAACAGTTTTATTTGTTGTTATCAGATTTTAAAAGCAACAATGTAGATGCTGAGAATTGCAGCATAAATGTGACCTTGAATCTGTCATTGAGAGTATTTCCTGGCTCAGTGATGTATTAAACATGTCCGTGAAGACAGCTCTGCAGCACGGTCTCTCAGTGCTCGTCCAGGGATGTTATCAGGACCTGGGGCTCTGCGAGAATTGATCCTGGTATTAGAAAGTTTAGAAATGTTCAGCTGGCTTTGTAGTGCAGACTTCAGCACCTGTCATCGTTGCCACCCTGCCCTTAAATTAGAAAGGTGAAATATGATCTGTTTGTACGGTTTGGATGTCTGTCTGCCTTCTAGAAAACTATTACTACATTCCTGGACATCCTGATCCTCTGGTGTGTGGAAACCAGTCAGACGCTGAGTAAGTAAACATGAGTCTCTTTCATTCACTGACAACAACAACAATAAAAACAAACTGTTTTTTATGTGTTCAGGTGGTGTCCAGATGGTTTCACCTGTGTGAAAGCAGGAAGTAACCCAAACTTCGGATACACCAGCTACGACTCGTTTTTCTGGTCTCTGATGTCACTTTTCAGACTCATGATGCATGACTTCTGGGAAGGCCTGATGCAGTTGGTCAGTAACTCACCGATGACCACATGCAGGCTCCTCCCAGTACTCCGGTTGTCTCATCTGTTTCTCTCACCTGTCTGTCCCTTTGCAGACGTTGCGAGCTGCAGGAAAATCCTATCTGATCGTCTTTCTGTTCGTCTTCTTCCCGGGTTGTTTCTTCCTGCTCAGTCTCATTTTGGCAGTGGTTGTTGTGACACGAGCGGAGCAAGAAGAGACTCAAGATGCCGAGGCCATACAAAGAGAAGAAGAGTTCGGACGGATTGTGGAGGTGCTGAAGAGGAGAGAGGAGGAGGAGGTCAGTAAGGACTCATTGCTTCCACAGGAATTAGGAGGGCAATGAGCAGCCAAATACTAATCAAGTCTAATCAGATTTAGTTCATTGGTTGGTCATCAGTAAGTGTGTGCACCTCTTTAACAGCAGATTTTGTCAGTTTGCTGTGGAGCATCCAGGTGTGTGCTAACACAATACCACCTTCTCTCCAGGACTGGGTGCTGCACCTTCAAAAAAACAAAAGCAGGAATCAATGATCCACACACGGGAATAAAGTTGCTTCTTATTTGCTGAACCTTGTGTCACATGTTACAGGTGCAACTTTTTTACGTCTACCTAACTTACAGCCCTCTCTTCTTCTGAATTCTTACATTTATCTCGACTTCTGGAACAGACTCAACACCGCTGTTGGGTCTGCACTACAGCAGGCCCGCTGGTTCAGACTGATTCCTGTAAAGAAGGAAATACAGAACAGCAATCGATCGGTTTTCACATGCTACAGCAAGGGGAGGATGTCGGGGCAGCCCTTCTGCCCTCGAGCTCAGATTACTCCAAAGAACCAGCCCCCGCTTGCAGCCTTTTTTTGTGTGACACACAGTTTACACAAGCACCCATTGTAAAAAACCCTATGGTCACAAAAGGTTAAAACACTGCGTGTGTGTGTGTGTATATGCATGTGCGAGCATGTTTGTGTGTGTGTGTGGATGGGGGTACGTTTGTGTGACTTCCTGCTGAGGATGTGCCTACAGTTACGCTATAGCCCCCCTCACCATTCAACAGGCTGGGGAGGGCAACAGAAACAGAAGGATGTCTCTGAGCACACAGTTTAAGGCCAGGCTTACAAACTTAAGTACAATAATGGCAACATTTAACAATTTCAGCCTAACAACCACCTTTCCTGGCCTCGCTAGTATAGCAACACACAATGCCCTATCTCAACAATCAACCTACTCTGTGCGCTTCTCCAGAGAAATAAACATGAACTTAAGACGCCTGTACTGATAATAACTGTTATGCATATATAAACAAATGATTCATTATGATACCACACTGGGCATTGCAGCAAATTCACGGCAAGAACTGATGCTCAGAGAAACCACAGAGAAACCCCAGTTACTGTGGCTGAGGTCCAACAGCCCCACCTCAGACTCTACAGGCCTCATTGAGCAGGTTGATGGGCTCCATGGCCACGACAAAAGGGAGATCAGAATCGCCTTTATTGGCCGTGTATATGCGCAGACACATACGAGGAATTTGGTTCGGGTAGATGACGACTCTCAATCACAGCAATGTAAATCACAACAATATGTAAACAACACAATAGAAACAATATAAAATAACCATAAGGTGTGTGTCTCTAGGAGGAGAGCCACACCAACAGCTGAGCTCTGACAGCTTGGAGCACTGGCACACTAGGCCCAGGTGTTGCCAGTGTTGCTAAAACATTCCACACCTGTACAAAATATACTGGAATAACACGAGTAGGTCTATTATCGGGCTTTAGTTCTGTTCATATATCAAACACGTCCTATTCTTCATCTAAATATCCTTCTGTGTCTAGCATGTGACCAATCCTGCAGACCTGTCGGCAGTGTGCATTTAAAATCCAGCTGTTCCAAAAACCTTTCACCAGCTTCTTCTCAACTTATTGTGTCAGCCGTGACCTTTCTGAGACAAAATAACCCTGTTTGGAAACTGTTCAGAGTACTGTGGGATGGCTCTGCTGAAATCGTCATTTAGCATAACTGAGTTTGGGTGTTTTGTTATGGACAGCAGGCTTCCAGCAGGGCAGAGACTCCAGAGCAACAGGACTCACTGCAGAAGAAGAAATCAGCTGGTATACGAGCTACTAAGCAAGAATACGTTGAAGGTAAACAGATATTTACCTCCACCTCTTTAACCTCCACCTTCCTTCATTGGGACAGGACAACACGCTCTGTCACTGAGAGCAGTCACAGACAAACGCGAAGAGCCGAGGCTCTGCAGACAACTTAATGCTGACACAGTTTGTGGCCTCACAGAGTAGCTTTGTGTTGCAGAGGCAGAGGAGCACCACCGGCCTTTGTGTTGCACCTGCACTGACGCCTTCCTGAAGGGGGACTGTTGTGGCTGCTGGCGATGGCTCAAACAGCAGCACACTTTTATCACGAACCCTTTCTTTGACCTGGTCATCATCATCTGCATCATTGTTAGCACCATCTTCACAGCCATGGAACATTACCCTATGATGGAGGAGTTCATGGAGACCCTGGTCTTCGCTGAGCTGGTGAGTGTTGAAGAAGTGTCTGCAGACCCTGTTATCTCCTACTTGGTTAATTTAATGGCAGCTTCTTCACTGCAGGCTAAAATCAGGACTTTTCCATTCTGCTCCCTTAGTTTGGTGTAGACTTGATCAGTCGGAGGGACCATATGTTCTTCTTCGATGTGCCTCCATGACCAATTTAGTGATGAATGCTTTTAGCGGGTTCTTCAGCCACCTAGCAAGAGTGGTTTAAAATGTCCACTCAGAGCAATTACATCACAAATGGTAACAAACCAACGGTACAAACCTGTAAACGACCTGCATAACTGAGAGGAAAAGCAGCACAGTGAGGTAAAAATGTAACGGGGGTACAGTATAAACCTCTGGCAAGTCTCGAGAAAAGTAAGGATCAGCTGGGATTCAGAGGGAGCTTTACTGAGGTTTATTTACATCGTGAGTCTTTGCAGTAACAGTGATGCCTGGTCAGAGTGATCTACCTTTACATGGGTGACATTTCACAGGAAAATTATTGTTTTGTTGGAACTTCTACTTCTGCACGGGACTCGGTGTGTTCGAGGTTTTTCGTTCGCCTGTCTGCCGATGGTTGGATGAATTGGATGCAAAACATGCTTCTACCCTGTGACCTCTGACCCCTTTGAACTGTGCAGGTCTTCCGTGTGATCTTTGCAGTTGAGATGATCATCAAACTTGTCGCACTGGGCCTGCATGGATACTTCCAGGTCAGATTTGTAGTTTCTTCTCAACAGTTCAGCGATCTGCCATTTTCAAAGAAACATTTGTGATTGTTTGTTGTCGTGGTTACAGGTGCGCTGGCATATCTTCGACTTTATCCTCGTCATCATTTCTCTGGTGCAGCTGGGACTGGCTGACGTTGAGGGTCTATCTTTGCTGCACAGTTTTCTTCCGGTTAGTATAACATCACCATCACTGTCATCATCATCATCTGTTCTCACGTATCTTTCTGTTTGTCCAGTTTCGAGTGTTTCGGCTGGCCCGTTGGTGGCCGATGCTCCACATGTTTTTGAAGATCGTCTGGGCCTCAGTGGGGAACCTGACTCTGGTTCTCTTCATCACGGTCTTCATGTTCTCTGTGGCGGGCGTGCAGCTGTTCCAGTCGGACTACAAAGCTAACGTCTGTCGCATTTCTCATGACCGCCAGCTTCCTCGTTGGCATATGGAAGACTTTTTCCACACCTTCATGCTTGTCTTCAGGGTCTTGTGTGGACTGTGTTTAGAGTCTTTATGGGATTGCATGGAGGTCTCGAATGATGGCATGTGTGTGACCTTCTTCATGATTGTCCTGATTGTTGGAAAGCTGCTGGTGAGTCTCTTTACACTTAACAACCTAGAATGACCCAGTCCACCTTAGTCCAATCAGAGTTTTTGAATGAGTTCCTGGTCTGTTTGCAGATCCTACATCTGTTCCTGAATTTATTGTTCATCAATGTTCAGCTGGTGGATTCAGAAGACAAAACAACAAACATTCTGCAGAGTACCATGAAACAGACCAGAACCTGGATCCCCAAGAGAATCTGGACTTTGTGGGGGAAGAACTACGCTGACCAAGATCACAAAGGTGGTTTTTGTTTGTATATTTGTCTTTGTAGGTTCTCAGTTATCCAGGTCACAGTAATCCAAGGAGCTTGTTTTGTGCCATTACTTTATTGCTGTTTTGGGGGTCTGCATTATTAACATGGAATGTAGATATAACACTGGCACAGCCACAACGAGGTAACATATTAGTCAAAGTCAAACTTTATTGTCATCTCCGCTAAATGGCAAATGGTAAATGGCCTGTATTTGTATAGCGCATTACTTGGTCCCCTATGGACCAAAAGCACTTTACACTGCATTCAGTCATCCGCCCATTCACACACTGGTGATGGCAAGCTACATTGTAGCCACAGCTGCCCTGGGGCGCACTGACTGCTACAGCCAGTGCAGCATATAAAGACAAGACGACGAGTTACATCAGTGCAAAAAACCCTAATAAATGGATATAAAAGGAGTAGAAAAATAAATATACACTTAAGACTAAGACTTAGTGAAGTCCTGTCTTGAAGCCTGAAACTGGATGTTTACAAACTGGATCTGACTTCGACAGTGAGGGACTCTGCTCACTACTCATTGGTAGTAAAATGTAAAGTGGATTGTAGTCTCGACTTAAATCTTCCCGTCCTTCCTTCTCCTCAACAAGACTTCAAACTAGTGACTGAGACCATAAATTCATCAGTGAGCTGAGTGATGAGGTGAACACGAAGCTCATTTTCTCATATACTTGCAAATGTTCAGGTTACAACCAGAGGAGTCACCACCTGCTGGACATTAGAGAGACTGCAGGTTTGAGGCAGTGTTGCCTTCATGTTTCAGGTCATCCTCACACATACTCTGTTGTTAGTGGTTTATTTTTTTTCTGTGGATCGTATTTGGATTTCTGTGTCTTTTTTAAATTTTAGATTTAGAGCTTTTAATTTGAAAATATTTTCATGTTTTCCTCATTTGCAGGTGACACTGAAAAAGACAACAAGGAGGAATATCTGGCCTTAAGCTCTGTGAGCTCAGATCAGCTGACCCTTGATGATAACCACACAAACATGGCCGCCTGGGAGGCCCCCGTCGCTGTGGCTGAGATCGAGTTTAGGACGCCTGAAAATGCAGAAGAAAAGGAGACGCAGCATGTAAAGCAGATTCTACTATTTTTGATCCTAGAGCAGAATTTCATGTTAAAAGTAAATACTGATGTGTGACGCAGCTTCGGCCTCGAGTATGAACAGCAGATAAACATGTTTGTGTCGCCACGGGGCGACCGTGGCTCAGGGGGTTGGGAATCGCATCTGTAACCGGAAGGTCGCCGGTTCGATCCCTGGGCTCTCTGTCCTGGTCGTTGTGTCCTTGGGCAAGACACTTTACCCTACTTACCTACTGGTGTTGGCCAGAGGGGCCGATGGCGCGATATGGCAGCCTCGCTTCTGTCAGTCTGCCCCAGGACAGCTGTGGCTACACCTGTAGCTGCCTCCACCAGTGTGTGAATGTGAGAGTGAATGAATAGTGGTATTGTAAAGCGCTTTGGGTGCCTTGAAAAGCGCTATATAAATCCAATCCATTATTATTATTTATTATTACACAGTACTATTTTCCTCACTGTGATCACTGTGCATGAAGAACATCTCTCCACCCTCGATGTGACCGCAGCATCATCAGAGCTTCAGCATAACTGCAGTTGTCTTTATGATGAATTGAGTGAAACACAGCGATGAGATGCTTTCACACACACATCCACAGCACACAGGTTTAAAGCAGACAACTGGACCGTGTAAAGTTCAGGTTTTAGTTTGAAATTCATCAGCAGCTGCTGATGTTAAAATCACTGCAACAGTTTAAAGAAGGTGATCATCAGACTTTTACAGGACTGAAATCAGCCATCCTGAATTCACAGACACAGTAAAGACCCGAGACATAAACCGCGTGAGCTTTCAGAGTGTGAACACTTAGTCCGGTGACAGTATTTTAAAGTAACTAGGACATTAAAGTTTATTTATGTTTGTGAACTTCTGTGTCTGCAGTGTGACGTCATGCAGAAACGTAAAGATGAAACTCATCCAGAACCTGAGGACTGCTGCTGCAACAGTATGAGCACACACACACACACACACTGTTATATCAAATTATTATATGTAAAATAGTTTAAACCTGCAGTGACAAACCTTTGTCTCCCTCTTCTGGCAGTGAGAGTAATTACGTAAATGCTGAGCTTTGGTAAACGTGTTCATGTTTCACCATATTTGGATCACACAGACTCGGATACCTGCTAATTAGTGTTCAGTAACATCCAAATAAAATCCTCAAGTTTCAGTCCCTGAAACTGGACCTCAGACTTCTTGAATGTCTGTTGGTCCAGTCAACCTCACAGCAGCCATATTATTGGTCAGATGATTGTAATAAAAATGATCCAAAAGACTCCAACAGCACAAACACGGTCCAGAGGTCCAGTTCAGGGACTGCAATTGGCAGACAGCTAGCAGCTACACCCGCCTGTGTCACCATCCACCTGTTAGTCAAAGAGGCCACGCCCCTAATAATGCCAACTTTAAGGCTCAATACAAACCTTCTCTCACTCTCTTACAGTTGTCATGAAAGGGGGAAATTATGGATATGGATTTGGTCTCAGGCTGTAAACATGTTTATTTGTGCTGTAAAGTTTTAACATAGGGACATGTTAAATCTATGGGGACCGGCTCACTGCTGGAGCCTCTGCAAGAGGAACTGCAGCTTTTGGTTCTTCTGTGCATGATTTAGTTTTCAGTGCCTCAGTTTGATGGATGATGTAGACCCAATTTAAAAGTTCAACAAACTGTGACATACAGAGATGATATCAAAGTTCCTTCACTGCAGCTGTTTCCGTTACATCAAGAGAACAGAAGCCAATCAGTCAGCAACGCCTCTGATGTGTTTCAGGCTGTTACATCTGCTGTCCGTTCCTGGAAATAGACACATCCCAGGGTACCGGCAGGGTCTGGTCTAACTTCAGGAGAGCCTGCCTCTGCATCATGCAACACAAATTCTTTGAGGGCTTCATCGTCTTCATCATCCTGCTGAGCTGTGCAGCTCTGGTAAACAGACATTGTCAATACATATTTGACAATATACATCATGAATTCATGTCACATTCAAACCCTGGACTCACTTGGACATGTTTTATCTTCCTGGCTTAACTCCACACTGAAACCACTAAGCTAAACATATGGCACTGATAGCGACCTGCATGAACCCACAGACAGTTGATTTGGTCTTTGAAGTCACTTTTGGATCAGTGTCTTGATGCATGCTCAATCATCCAGGTAAGTAAATCCCAAAGGTTGAATATGTACACCTGGTCGTAACGTTTTCAGGAGAAACTTTCATCATCAGGGGACGTCTTCAGTCTCAGCTGACTGCAGGTCTCCAACCATATAAACAGGACATTTGCACACTGACTGAAACTAGCACCACTGAAGGAACAATGGGCTGGGAGGTCAGTTCCTTCATCGTTAATATGCAAATTCTTTTGACCATTTGATCAAAGACGATTGATCAATAACCATGAGTCCCATTCACAGAGAGTTGGGGAATGGCTGCAATCACAGCATGTAAGATGGTGACAGATGTACCCTTAGGCCCCTCCTCCGTTCAGAGATGGTCCTTCCCTTTTCACGTAAATGGCCTCCTTGACTCCGCCTTCAAACCAGTGTTCCTCCCTGTCCAGGATGTTACATCCTCATCATTGAAAGAGTGTCCACTGGCCTGTAGGTGTGAATAGACTGCAGAGTCCTGGCCTGACGAGGTGGCTTTTCTGTGTTGTGTCATCTGCTTGTGCAATCTACTGTTTATAAGGTTGGAAACCTGCAGTCCGCTGAGACTGAAGAAGTCACCTGATGATGATGAAACGTTTCTCCCACTGAAAACGTTCAGATGAACTGAATCAACCTTTTTGGGTTTTGGAGCTGTTGGGGTGGTTTCCTGTTCATGGGTAGAAAAGTTATGTCTTATTATTGCAGAGGTGCTGCTCTGAAAGACACAAAACATCCCCTCACTAAAGCGCCAGAGTTGCAGATGATCACAGTCTACAATATTAGAGAGAGGATCACAACAATCAGATGACAAGAGCAGCCCTTGGTGACAGTGGGAAGGAAGAATCCCTTTTTTTAACAGAAAGAGACCTCCATCTGAACCAGAATCAGGGAGGAGCAGCCATCTCCTGGATGTGTCGGAGGGTGGTGGGAAAAAACACAGACAGAAAAGAAGAGCTCATGAAGAACAAACAGGACAGCAGGTCGTCTGTTAAACCAGAAGGTCACACTGCTAGAATGACAGTGGTTGTCCTTAGATCGTCTCATATGCTGCTTGTTGTGAGTAAACAGGCGTGTGTTTGTGAACAGGTTTTTGAGGACATCTACCTGGGGCATCGTCCAGTCTTGCAGAGAGTTTTGAAGATGGCAGACCTGGTGTTCACCTTCGTGTTTCTGGTGGAGATGCTACTGAAGTGGATCGCTTTTGGATTCAAGAAATACTTCACAAGCTTCTGGTGCTGGCTCGACTTCCTCATCCTAGATGTAAGAGCACAATCGGCAGCACCGATTATTGGCAGTATTTTACAAAGCCAGTCACGGAGGGACCACAAGCCAGTGTTGTCCTAGTGCTGGTCCCAAGCCTGGGTAAATGGGGAGGGTTGTATCAGTAAGAGTATTCTGACTAAATCTTGGAATGAACGAAAAATGATGTGGGGCATTTAACCATGTGTGGAGCTGGGGATCATAGACCCACCTCAGCATTGGTGATGGCACCGAAGCTAAAGGACGGGCTGTTCATGTCTGAGATGTGGGCGGCTTTGACAGGATGTCAGTATTTGACGTTGTAGTAAAGAAATGGGGTTGTTTCAGTTTGAACAGATAAACTAACAGCACACAGTCAGGCTGGGTAAGATGAACCTGCTGCTTCACTGCTCTCCTGTACAATGAGGTCAGTTCAATTTAATCGAGTTCAATTCAATGTTATTTATATAGCACCAAATCACAACAACAGTTGCCTCAAGGTGCTTTACACTATAAGGTCAAGACCCTACAGTAATGTTAAGGAAACCGAAAAAACCCAACAATAATATGACCCCCTATGAGCAAGCGCTTTGGCAACAGTGGGAAGGAAAAACTCTTTTAACAGGAAGAAACCTCAAGCAGAACCAGGCTCAGGGAGGGGCGGGGCCATCTGAGGCGGGGCCTGATGATTTAAGACCTTATTGGTTTAAGAGTATGTGAGGAGCAGGATTTTGAATTCTGGATTTAACAGGAAGTCAAAACAGGAGAAATCTGCTCTCTCTTTCTAGTCCCTGTCAGGACTCTTGTTGCAGCATTTTGGATCAGCTGAAGGCTTTTCAATGAGTTTTTTGGACATCCTGATAATAATGAATTACAGTAGTCCAGCCTGGAAGTAATAAATGCATGAACTAGTTTTTCAGCGTCACTCTGAGACAGGATATTTCTAATTTTAGAGATGTTGCACAAATGGAAGAACGCAGTCTTACATATTTGTTTAATATGTGCTTTGAAGGACATGTCCTGGTCAAAAATGACTCCAAGGTTCCTCACAGTGTTACTGGAGGCCAAGGTAATGCCATCCAGAGTAAGAATCTGGTTAGATACCATATTTCTAAGCTTTTCAGGGCCGAGTACAATAACCTCAGTTTGATCTGAATGAAGAAGCAGAAAGTTAGCGGCCATCCAGGTCTTTATGTCTTTAAGACATTCCTGCAGTTTAACTCATTGGTGTGTGTTATCTGGCTTCATGGACAGATAGAGCTGGGTGTCATCTGCATAGCAGTGTAAATGTATGCTATGTCTTCTAATGATGCTGCCTAAGGGAAGCATGTATAATGTAAACAGAATTGGTCCTAGCACTGAACCCTGTGGAACTCCATAATTAACCTCAGTGTGTGAAGAGGACTCTCCATTTACATGCACAAACTGGAGTCTATTAGATAGATATGATACAAACCACTGCAGCGCAGTACCTGTAATACCTACAGCATGTTCTAATCGCTCTAATAGGATATTATGGTCGACAGTATCGAACGCTGCACTGAGGTCTAGCAGGACAAGCACAGAGATGAGTCCACTGTCAGAGGCCATAAGAAGATCATTTGTAACCTTCACTAAAGCTGTTTCTGTGCTGTGAACTCTATGAGAAGTAAGCAAAGTTTATTTATTAAGTTTATTTATTTATTAAGCACTTTTCACAGAGTCGCTGTACACAAAAGGGTCAAATAAATCTGAACATTAAGTGCTAAAATATTCAATAAAAATATTTGATAAAATAAAATAAAATAAACAGGTAGTTTTAAAATAAATAAATAAACCTATAATCATTCCAATAAAACTTCTGAAGCCTGTTTAAACAAAGATTTTAGTCCACAGAGTCCACTAAGTGTAGTTGTGGTGGTAGACTGTTCTACAGCCTTGGTGCCACAGACTGAAAGCCTCTGTGCCCCCTCGTCTTTAGTCATTTACAGGGAACAACCAAAAATCCAGAGTCTGTGAATGAAGAAAGAAAGCAATGATTTGTCCAAGCTGGAAAACAGGTTATTACAATAGTCTAAAAATAACTTAGAAATGTTACTTAAATGAAATGAACAGTGATATGATGAAGATTTTATATGCAAGTCGAAGCCAGAGAAGAATCCAATATTACACCCCATACATGGCTCAACTCCTTGAACGGTCCACCATATACAAGCACAGGTGAGCCCATAAATGGCAGGAAGTAAACATTCATTACTAAATAAGGAAACCAGAATCTTACATGCAAGTGTGCCTGCAGTTAAACACTATAGCTAATAGCATCCCCCACCATGCTAGATCTAGGGGAGGAAAAATATCTGCACGCAGTTCAAGAAAAGGTTTACAGTTTTAAACACAACAAGGACAACTTTGATCAGAATGACTTCAACAGAGGCAATGGTTTGTTCTAACAGAGACGGTCCTGTCAGATAAGTAAGAAGAAAACCAGTCTAAGGCAGAGCCACATACACCAGCCTAAACCTCAAGCCTGTCAGGCAGAATGTTATGGTAAATGGTATGAAAGGCTGCACTAACACTGGACAGAATGATAGCAGAACAGTCCCCTGCATCAGAAACCATTCAAAGATCACTACAGATTCATTATACAAAAGACAGAGTAAAGACCTGATTTCCTACAGTTGAAACCTGACTGAAACTCTTCCAATAAGCCATTCCTCTGCAGATGATCTGTTAGCTGTTGACAACTACTGTTTCAAGAATCGATAACATGAAGGCTGGGGATTGGCCTATAATTAGCTAAGACAGCTGGGACAAGGGGTTGTATTTAAGTAATGTTTAACAACTGCCATCTCGAAGGCCTGTGACTTGTAGCCGATTATTAGAGACAGGTGGATCACATTGTCACCGCTGTGCTGTCTTCTAGGTGTCTCTGTTCTCCCTGATGGGCAACATGCTTGGATACACCAGCCGGCCTCTGAGAGCTCTGAGGACTCTGAGGGTCCCGTCTCGCTTCAAGGGCATGAGGGTGAGGCAGGCACTCATACAGATACAGACATTGCCGAGCAGGATGTAGGTGTACTCTTCTGCTAGAGAAAGAAGATCAAATATTTATAAAATTCTTTGCTTGTTAAATGATTTGTAGAGTTCGTGTGACTTTCTCTTTTGCTCTACTCATCATTGTGTTCCCTTTTTAGGAGATTTGACTCCTTAGGGTGTGTCTGTTATTTCCCATAGACACTGAAAGTTTGTCCTATCCATCATCATTCTCCTTATTTGCAGGGTATCTGTCCCTAACAGTTTCTTCGATTTCACCCAACTCGGGGAGCGTTCATCAAACAATCTTTGTTTTCTTATTTCTCGGTTGTCCATCCTACAGACGTGGCCCAGGTATTTTAATCGCTGGTGTAAGCAGAAGGACTTTATCACTTTTGTCTCAGTAATGCGTGCAGGTCTGCATTTGTGAGTTTTAATCGCCAACCCGTTATTCAGCCTCCCAAATCTGTATGACCACACAAAAAGAACACACTGTCCTTTGATGTTCAGAGGAAAGTTTGTCCATACTTGAGGAGGTTACTCCACAGACTGGCGGCTGTGCTCCATTTGGTCAGCCAGGCACAAGACTGGGTTCCCCAGGGTGTAGCTGTCCTAATGACAGAGGTGTGAGAGGCGACTGGTCTTACCAGGACTTATCAATGCCTTGTAACCCTAGTATAAAGCCAGTTGCATGTCACACAATTTACACCCCAAGTTGAATGATTGTTTACGTTGTATATCATTTGCTTAGTTTTTGTTTACAGGTTTTCAGGTCTTTCAGTAGCTAATAGTGAACTTTCCTGGCAGAACTAAAGTCCTGTTGGATGGAGAGCCAACGTGGAGGCAGCTTATTAACTGGATGTGAGCTGATTCACAGCAGAGACCTTTTTGTCTCTCTGTCTGTGTGCAGGTGGTGCTGAAGGTGCTTGCCGTGACGCTGCCCTCCATGTTCAGCATGCTGCTGGTGATTCTGGTCATCTGGCTTGTCTTCAGCGTGATAGGAGTGAATCTGTTTGCAGGAAAGTTTTCTTACTGTTACAATGAGACTTCAGAGGAGCTTTTCTCCTTTTACGTGGTGAACAACATGACTGAATGCTTTTCACTGATGGATCAGAATTTCTCTGAGGTCAACTGGAAGACGTGGACGTTTAATTTTGACAATGTGGGGATGGGTTTCCTGTCGCTGCTGATCATGGTCAGTGTGAACACGCTAACTTGTTAGTTAGAATGCATAAAACCATCAACTGTGTGGAAAAAACATAACCAAGCTAACTAAAGTCAGTATCATTTAGTAATAGAGCTTGAATTCATTGTTTTTCTAATGAAACTCTGTGTTGATTGTGGGTCAGGGGACGTCTTCAGGCTGGATGGACATCATGTATGCAGCTGTGGACTCCAGACAAGTCAGTATACACGCTGGATCAGTACTGTTACTGTTGCTGTTATTACTGGTATATTACTACTGTGTGTGTGTGTTAAAACCACTGTATGTGTGTGTGTGTGTGTGTGTAGGTGGAAGACCAGCCGCACTACGAGATCAATGTGTACATGTACCTGTACTTCATCTGTTTCATTATCATCGGCTGCTTCTTTACGCTGAACCTCTTCATTAGAGTCATCATTGATACGATCCACCAGCAGAGACACAAGATAGGTCACGCACACACACACACACACAGTTGGGCATCAGTCTGTAGAAGCTCCACAGTGTTGGCTGAATTCGTTCTTCCTGTTTCTGTCAGTTAACTTTGCTCTTGTCTCTCATCTCTACTTCGGAGGGAAACATGTTTTTGTGACGGACCAGCAGCAGAAATATTTGAGCACCATAAAGAAACGATTCTCTGAAAAACGCAACAAAACAGTTCCACAACCTCAGGTCAGTTCAGATATAGTTCTTCAGTCTTTGTCAACTGCTGGCTGATTTTCATTTTTAGCCCAGTCCTTGTACCCGACCACTTTCAGAAGATTACCCAACTCTGACCCATTCAGGCACAAAAGAGGCTCCTAACTCAAGGGATGAACTAATGTTGTGTCCACACATGATGCACAACTCAGGAAACAACCAGTTTCAAGTTGTATCTTTGAGCTCTTTTGCTGAATTTGTGAAAAATGCCAAAGTAATGGGAATCTAAGGAGCTTGGAAAGAGAACCGTTAGTTGTTTGAAGACGTTTCAGCTCTCATCCGAGAAGCTTCTTCAGTTCTAAGGTCAAATGGTGGAGAGTCCCAGATTGAAACCCAGTGGGAGTTTCCCCCCAAAGAGGTACAAAGGACCCCCTGATGATCCTCTGCCTAATCACATGAGCCAAGGTGTGAAAACGGGTGTGGGTCACAATCAGCCAGGGTTTCGGGTGAGCTCATGGTGAAACCCGGCCCCACCCTGTCATGTGATTTCCTGAGGCCAGATGGCCCAGGATGTGAGTGGGTGTTAAGGCGTCTGGGGAGGGATCTCAGAACTGGATTATAGATGGCAGAGAGTTGTAAACTCCAGGTGGACTTAAATGGCTTCTTTCACTCCTCTTTTAAACATCTGTCCTCTCTGTCCAACATGTGAACATTGGAATCCTCGAAAGAGCGTCCTTTCCCCCGTGTCACCTATTGTAGCCAACTTAACTCTCTTCCTATTGAAAAAACAAAAGTTGTATCCAAGATGGCCGACTTCTAAATGGCCACCATGGTCACCACCATGGTAGACAAACTGGCAGCTCTTACTGTGGTGGCATCTGTCATTTTTTTCAGTGTGGTATGTTGGAGCAGCAGTTTATCGGCAGCTGAGAGGAAGAGGTTAGATAAACTCATCAGGAAGGCCAGCTCTGTTCTGGGATGCACCCTGGACCCAGTGCAGGTGGTGGGAGACAGAAGGACTGTGGCCAAAATAACATCTCTGATGGACAGAGTCTCCCACCCCATGCATGTAGATGTTGCTGCAGAGCTGCTTCAGTGACAGACTGCTGCATCCTCAATGCATGAAGGAGCGTTTCTGCAGGTCCTTCCTCCCTGCAGCTGTCAGACTGTACAATCAGAACTGCTCCCAACAATCATAGGTCTGCGCTGTAACTGCAATAATTTAATCAACCGATTCGCACAGCAACCTGGTTTGCCTCTTAGCTGTAGTTAATTTTATTTAATTTAACACTAGATTTACTAACCCTGCGCAAATTTGCGTAAATCCCCTGAACCTAAAACCTATTAGAATTACTGACTTTTTTATTTTCTGGCGCAAGTCCCAAGGTGTTATTCAAACTGGGGTGAATAAAATGAATAAGGCTGGGCAGCATCACCTCATCCCCCATCACACTGAACACTGGTGCTCCACAGGGGTGTGTACTGAGCCCTCTCCTGTACTCACTCTACACCTACAACTGCACGGCCACTAACAACTCCAACATCATTGTGAAGTTTGCGGACGACACTACAGTGGTGGGTCTTATCACCAAAGGTGATGAGACGGCCTACAGGGAGAGGTCAGCGCCTTGACCCACTGGTGTCAAGACAACCATCTCACCCTCAATGTCGCAAAGACAAAGGAGTTGATAGTGGACTTCCGGAGGTGCAGAGAAGTACACACCCCCATCACCATCAACGGCGCTGCTGTGGAGAGAGTGAGCAGCTTCCGGTTCCTTGGGGTACATCTGGCTGAGGATCTTACGTGGTCAGTACACACAAACAAAACAGTGAAGAAGGCGCAGCAGCGCCTCTTCTTTCTCAGGAGACTGAAAAGATTCGGCATGAGCCCCCGCATCCTCAGGACCTTCTATCACTGTGCCATTGAGAGCATCCTCACTGGATGCATCACCACCTGGTATGGCAACAGCACCGCCTACAACTGCAAAGCTCTCCAGCGAGTAGTGCGGTGCTCTGAACGGATAATTGGAGGTGAGCTTCCCTCCCTCCAGGACATCTACAGGAAGCGGTACCCGAGGAAAGCGGGGAGGATCATCAAGGACTCCAGTCACCCCAGCCATAAACTGTTCAGACTACTCCCATCAGGAAGGAGGTTCTGCAGCATCCGGTCCCGTACCAGCAGACTGAGAGACAGCTTCTTCCATCAGGCCATCAGACTGCTGAACACTTCATAGTCACCTCAGCTTCACTTAAGAGAACTTCAACATTATGCACTCCACACTGTATATAAATGCCACTGTTTTGCACATGTCCAACTACCAACCTCTGTATATTTTATATATTTTATTTATTGTTTATTCTATTTAATTTTTAAAATATGTATAGACACACACACACGTAGATATTTATATTTAGTATACACATTCAGTAATGCACATACACTCTTATACTGTACATATATTTATTCATATAATTCTCAGATTTACCCATTCTTATATTTTGCTTGTTCTTATGTTATTGTATTTTAACACAACTCTGTTGCTTGTGAAGCTCGCACACAAGAATTTCACTCGCATGTACTGTACCAGAGTACCTGCACATGTGATGTGACAATAAAAGTGATTTGATTTGAAAGTTCATCTCGCTTCCATCGGCCCAAAGATGTTTCTCAGACCTGTACACGCTCCTTTAGATGTTTTCTGGTAAAATCTATTCTAGCACTTCTTGAGTGTAACCAGTAGTTTGCATCTTGTTGTAAACTCTCTGTATTGATCGTAGACTTTCAAAGAGTTTCACCAACCTCCTCAAGAATCCCCTTGACTCAATTAGATGCTCTGATCCTAAATACAACACCTTGAATCAGTTTCAGGTTTTGTAACTGCTCAAACTTTCATTGAATAATGAGGGAATGGGCTTTACTGTTTGTCACCTTTGAGCCTCTGAAAACGGGGACTGCATGAAACAACAGTTGATGGAATATTTTACAAACCTTTAAAACTCACGGTGTGCAGACACTAAAATACGCATCAGAGTCCAGATACTTATGGATATATGTTCATATGTAGCACGTGAAGGCACGTATGGAGGCGTTGCAGTAATAAAGGTAATGAATGTTAGAGCTGTCAGATCAATGACTGTAAGGACGAGTCTCATTTTGTGCAGTAGAGAGAGTCATCAGCTGTCAATCAGACTCTTACACCAGCCTTCATATATTAGCCTGTTGCCTCCTACTGTGGAGGTGAAGAAACAAATTCTGTTTCAGCAGTGATTAAGATAACATTGGATCACAAGTTTCTCCTGTAAGAGGGTTTTTACTGAAAACTATTTGCAGTGTCAGCAAACCAACTGACTGCCGGAGTGTTTAAAGCTTACGTCTTTGTCTCCAGAATTGCTGCCTGGCTTGGCTGTTTGACCTGGTCACCGCTCTGTACTTTGAGATCTTCATGGTGGTGGTTATCTTCTTCAACATGGTGGTTCTAATGGTGGAGACTGATGATCAGAGTGAGGAGAAGTCACTTGTCCTGAACTGGATCCATCTCATCCTTGTGGCCATCTTCCTTGTTGAGTTTATCCTGAAGATCATTGCACTCAGAAAGCATTACTTCAGAAATGTCTTGCACATTGTGGACTTTGTGGTTCTCACTTTGTCCATTATAGGTGAGTCCTACACACAGAAACAATCTTATTTTCTTATCTGATCTCAGTTTGGTTAGTTACTGCAAATGTCTGCGGGCTGTAACAGGAAGTACAATGTTCCCTGTTTTTACTCTAAAGTCAGTCCGTGTCATGGTTTCTGCAGTTTAAAATGTCTTTGCCCTCTTCCTGATTTCCTGATGTTTGTCACACTTACATGTTTCAGATCAAACAATGAAAATATTTGTCAACGATAACACGTGTAAACGCAAACTGAAGTTTCTAAATGAATGTGTTTATTATTAAGGGGAAAAACCCCCAAATCCAAACCTGGCCTGTGTGGAAAACCTCCACTTATGGCATCAAAAGCAGAAGAAAGAGTGTGGTGTGTCTGTGTTATTTCCATTGTTGTCTAAAGCATTGGAGAAGATGGTCCTCTCACAGACGCAGGCCTCCTTGGATGCAAATAATATCAGCGATAAATTCCAGTCTAGCTTTAAACCACGCCATAGCACCAAAACAGCGCTGCTGAGAGTCCTTAATGGCCTTCTTTTATTTGCCGACTCAGAGTGCTCTACGTTCTTAGTTTTATTGGACTTGACCTCTGCCTTTGATATGGTTGACCATAATATCCTCCTATTGAGGCTTGAGCACACAGTAGGCATAATGGGTAATGCCTTGAACTGGTTTAGATCGTATCTGTCGGACAGGTCTTACATACTTACTTGCTCTTCCTCTGTTGCTCCCCTCTACTGTGGTTTGCCCCAGGGATCTGTGTTGGGCCCTATGTTGTTTTCATTGTATATGCTGCCCCTAGGCTCTGTCTTAGAGAAGTATAATATCTCCTGTCACTTTTATGCTGATGATATTCAAATTTACTTTCGGCTCTCTGGTGATGTTTGGTCATCAGTACACTGTCTGCTAGAGTGTTTGAGAGAGGTCAAAGATTGGCTCTCCGATAACTCTCTTATATTGAATGAGAAGAAAACAGAAATCGTGCTGTTCGACAACCAGACTTCAGAGGGCCAATTTACTGATACTCGTGGACCCCTTGGCACCTTTCTTTCTGGCACTGTTAACAACTTAGGTGTCCTCTTAAACAGCTAAGTTTGACAAACAAGTATCCTCGGCAATGTTCCCTCTAAGCTGCACGCATGGGCAATTGCGCACTGCTGGCACAGTCTCTGCACACAAAAAAAGAAATCGAACCTGAATTGAAATTAAAATTAAAACTTTAACAATTCTGTTTTGCAGTGTTAGTCAGTGACTGACTGGCTGCTCCCGTATGTGATCAGAACGATGCCACCTTATCCCATAGTCCAGCCAATCACGCAATTCACATTCGTGTATACGCAGCTAATCAATGTCGCTGACTGGCTATGACAGCGTCCTTATGTGCCGACACCGGTGTTTTAGCGAGCAAAGCGGCTGATGTGGAGTGAAGCCACGTTAATGACAACGTGTACAACCACTGGAGATGTGAGCAGGACAGACGGAACAACTGACGGACAAAGTGTGGACTTTATACCAGTTTTTAAATTGTGTTGATCGGCCACGTAAAACCAGAGTTATGATAAAATATCTGCAATGTTTGGTTTTCTTCCTGAATACTGTCGTTGTTGACGGGTTTTATAAGGAAAACGCTCGAAAGCCTGCGAGCAAAAACAACACCCAAAAAACCCCCACCCTTTCCTATTGGTCGGAAAATATACCATGTGGACCAATCAAAAAATGATAGAGAGAGAGAGAGAGAGAGAGAGAGAGAGAGAGATTTGTGACGTGTGTTGTCGTGTGTTGTCGTGTGTTGTCGTGTGTTGCGACGTTTAGCTAGTCTGTAGTGTAGTGTACTCATAATACAAGTCAGAGCTTTATAAAAACAAAAAAAGAAAGTTGTGTTTTCAAAACTGGAGTTCAAGTTATTTTTACTTCCAATACTGTAGTGTTAACATGCTACAAAACCAATTTTTTAAAAAACATTTTCAGCTAAGTTTGACAAACAAGTATCCTCGGCAATGTTCCCTCTAAGCTGCACGCATGGGCAATTGCACACCGCTGGCATGGTATCTGCGCACAAAAAAAAAAAAAATCTAACCTGCACTGAAATTAAATTTAAAACTTTAACAATCCTGTTCTGCAGTGTTAGTCAGTGAGTGACTGGCTGCTCCCGTATGGGATCAGAACGATGCCACCTTATCCCATAGTCCAGCTGATAGGTTTGTAGCTTGAACCTATTCGCTGGAACGCTGAAGACAATATAATTACACAGCAAGCAAGAAACAAGTAGGCAAAGTTCTTCATGTTACTCATGCATGAGGGAGACCTGCCTGGAGCCAAGTGTCGTTCCACCACTTGACCTCCATCAGACTCTCAGCCAGGTTCCCCATAGCACTCCTTTTACTGTGGTTACATGAATATGCATAGGGTCATTAACATATAACATCTTACATAAGTATACATGTAAACAAAGAATACTGTGTGTGTGTGTGTGTGTGTGTGTGTGTGTGTGTGTGTGTGTGTGTGTGTGGGGTCAGAGTGTGACCCCATAAACGACTTCCTTAACCTGCTGGTCTGGAAAATCCAACAGTTCATCTAAACAAAAAGCACTTAGACTAAAACAGACGTAGCTACGTTAATCCTACATAAAACAATAAGACAAGGTACGACCTCTCTCGTGCTCCCAGGATGTGGGTGTGCATTCTAGTGTGGAATACACACCAAGCCTTTGTAGCCTGTTAGAGAATACACAACCTATCACTACACAATTGATTATACACCTCTAAGAATATATGGTTAAATATTTCTAAGCATAAATGACAATCAACAATACAAAACCTAACACCAGCCAATGATGCGATTCACATTCGTATATACGCAGCCAATCAACGTCGCTGACAGGCTATGACGCGTCCTTATGTGCCGACACCGGTGTTTTAGCAAAGCGGCTGCTGTGGAGTGAAGCCACGTTAATGACTGAAAGAAATCTCCGTCCCGGATCATCCGTGGATCGGGTTTCCTCCGAGGCGTGGGCACCTATAAGCAGAGTTTTGTCTTTACCCTATAAGATTCAAAATTATTCAAAGTAACACTCAGGTATACCGTTCAGCAGGTTAGTTACGACGTCGGGAGTAGCTTGGGAGAACAAGGAAACACAGACTGCTTCAGGTTGCTTTCCCAAAATCAACTCAAAGGTTTATTCATCAGACAACAGTTTATATAGAGGAAAAAGGTTCATGTGTCAGCAGATTCTCAGTTCAAACCGGTACAGACCAAATAAGGAAGCGTCTTCCTGCCCTCTGAGCAAAGAAGTATCCTTTGTATAGTTTATCAGTTCAGCTACAATTTATGATCATCCAGCAAAATACACTCCTAGACATAGAATACAGAGTTCTTTCATTAGTGAATTCTGAAACAAACCACCTGGCCTTTAACAAGCCTTTTTGTAAGAGATAAAGAAGGAGGATGGGAGTAAGGAAGTGATCTCTGTGGTATTTTCGACCTTGAGGTACCAGCCTGTGATTCTTACACATTAATTCTTGGGTCACAGAGAAAGAGAAAAACAACTAGTAAATGGGCCTTATTGAGTAACAGTTTTCCTGTATAATATCACTACAAAACAATATCCTGTAAATGCTACCATGGTATCAAAATATCACAACAGTTCTCTCCTTTTATCATAAAATGATAACATAGTATAAAGACAGAATGTAATAACATAATCTAAAGACAAATCATAAACGTAAAACAAATCATAAATGTAACTGGTCCTTCGAGCAAGCTTAATATCAAAAATTCTGAGAGCATATACATGGTATCAGTCAACAGACAATAATCATCAAAAACAAAATAATACATGCTGCAACGGTTACAAAGGCTACAATTAGTTCCTTCCATTTTCCAAACATGTCCTGCAGCCACTTGTCTAGCCACTGACCGTGACCTGCATTGGCTCTTAGTTCTATCTGCAATGCTTCAAGTCTATTCATAGCTTGTGTGAATGAACCGTTAGGGCGGTATTATTGGGAATGAAAGTACAGCATACATCTCTAAACATCGCGCAAACACCTCCTTTCTCAGCTAACAGCATATCTAAGGCCATTCTATTTTGCATGGTCATTAAAGAGGTAGCAGACATCTGTTCTTCTAGGGCTTTAAGGGCCGTATTGGTCAGATTGGTATGTCTTTGCTGATGGTAATAAACATAATTGATCCAGGCTACATTTTTGTTTACCTGTATCCACGGTAGTATTGAGGCAAACCCTGCTGATATTTCTCCTTGTGCCTTTAATTCCTTTGGTATCCCGCGTGGAACTCCTATAGCATCTATGTAAACGTTATGTGAGTAAGTGGAGCGTTTTGTACGTCTGCTGGATACAGGCAGATCCGAGGTTGTTGTATTAGTAGTTCTTGAGCTAAAGTTACTAGACCACAGGTACCGGTCCAATTAACAGGTAAGGCTAATCTGAGAGTATTATTGCACATCCAATAACCGTTAGGGATTGCTCTAGTTAGACACGTGACCATGTGTGATTTAACTAACTCCCCCCAGTCAGTATCATTTAATACACCTTCTGGGGGAACAATGACCGATTCTCCGCTCGAACTTGAACTGTGTGTGTGTTCCTCCAGATATGATAAAACTTCAGCCACAGAGACAGCTAGCCATGTCTCATTACAGCGTGCACCTGGGGAGTCAGAGAAGAAAGTATAGTTATCCTTTGTATAATCTATGTGGGTGTCTGGGCCAGTTAACTTTAGTCTGCGCAGACATATCATACTAGTATTAAAATGGAAAGGGATCTGTCCTAGGGGTAGTGAGGGCTTTAACCTATTCTTAGGACGTTTCATTGGGGCGCAGGTCCCTGTGGTGTCATTAGATAACTTCAATAATTCGCCTAATGGAGTCTCAGGGTTAGTTGGTGTGTGTGTGTGTCTAAGTAGGCAGTCGAGAGGGCTCAGAGTCAACTGTAAAGTGTCTTTAAGGAGAGCATTATCTCCGCCGATTTTCTCTAGTCCCTCAGTGAGGG